AAGCATGAACATGGTCAGGTTCAGCAGGTCTGGTAAAACAAGGACTAATGGGTTAACAAAAAATCCTCACCTGGCAAGGGTTGTGCCTACACTGTCTTTACTAACTATGCTCAGATGAAGGCAGGAACATGCTGTGCCACTTGTTCTGAAACATTAGTGCACTTGTTCCCTGTGAGAATGGGGCACCAGTCTGAGCTGGCTGTGCTGGAAACCCCACACCCTGGGATCCTGCCTGGGCATCTGCTGGAGCTGACCCACATTGTCTGCTGTTATGGGGCAGTGTGGACACCCAGCACATTTGGGCCACTGAGACCTAAGCTGCCAGCTCAAGGCAACAGAGGAAGGTGTCAGTGCACTGCTCCATTGGTGACAGATACAATTTGGAACAGCCTAGGGAAAGTATTAATTGCCTGACCAACAGCCATGGCAGCACCTACGGGAGAACAGAAGAAAAGGAGGGATGATTTATGTCTTCCAAGTACCATTACATTTTCCCATCCATGCTGTAGCAATACATGAAGGAAAACCAAAGCCTGTGCTTCTCAGGACTCTGTGGAAGATGTCAGAAATGGCCCTGACGGCTTCACTGAGCTCCATGTAAGGTCATGAATAAAATAGATTTGTAATCCTAGGGCAGGGAGGAGGCCAGACAGATTTGATTAATCTCCTTGATAGGATCAAAAGCCACTGGCAGTACATCACCCTGATGGTAATAAAGCACTGGAGACAGCGCGCCCAGCCATCATTGTACCATCTTCTCTGCCTAGCAAGTGACAGCAGACCTGACTGTGCCACCCCTGCTCACTCACCCTTGTCAAAATAGGCCATGGTACCTCCACAGTGGCTGGAGTCACTCCCCATTTTCATTCTTTTCCTTCCTCCCAGTCTTTCCTCTATCCAAGATGTCTCACGTGGGAGAGCACTGCTAAAGCCATTTTCTGTAGCTCCTGTGTTCCCTCATCCCTATGCTGAGTCCTCTGCAGCTTCCACACCCTGAGCAGATCATCAGTCAAAGCAGCATGACCCAAGGTGTGACATTCAGGATGTACAGTGCTTGTCTTGAACAATCCAAGAGATAAGTGATGTACTTAGGCACTCAGGGTATCTGTTGTTTGTCTTGAGACATGTAGGAGTTAAACAAGATCTGCTGAGGCCTAAAGAGATGTCTCAGCAACCCACCAAACCATTCTACTGCCCCCCTCACCATCCCATGTGTACCTGAGAACTGGGGAGTTCAGTGTGGGCCATGCTGAGATTGGAGGCAAAGGAGTTCTACAGCTGGTGCTGGGAGCAGAATATCCAGGGACAACCAGGCCTTCAGATTCATGAAAACCACCGACTTAGCAGGAACAGTTAAAGAGTGCCGGTCTCAAGCTGCCTCCCAGGACCCAACCTCCACTGCAATAAACTAATCCTGTGGTGCCAGTTGTCTCATTAATTAGCCAAACAAAGACTATCTGCAGGACATAACCCCAGCACCATAACCCCCTCCTATCTCTGAGAAGCACAGAAAAGACAGCAGGATTTTCTCACCTGTACAAGGAGAAAAGTGGGGGTGCAGTGGGCCAGAACTGTACAAAAATCTGGGACACTGTGGGTGCAGGAAAGCCCTTCCCCACCAGGAACTACTTCCCCACCGACGATGTCACTGGACCGTGGTGGTAACAATTCTCTTGCTCGCTGCCCTCTGTGTTTCTGCTTTCTCCTTTCTTTCCTGTCTCTGTTTTCCTCCCTGTCCTATCTGCTCTAGGCACTTTGTTGTGTTACTCCAGTAAAGTTTGTTGTGCACGTGACATCTGACCTCGTTTGTGTCTTACTTTCACCATTTGGGATCACCTTTGAACCTTTTCACAGGTCCTGCAGGACAACAAAGGTGCAGCTGCCGTGTGGCTCATACCAGGAGAGGGAAGGAAGAATCCAGCCACACCCAGCCTCCCACTTCAGTGGGGAGTGTTGGAAAGCAAGGGGGTTCTGCCCCATCTCTCGTAAGACCACACACCAGCCTCAGTGCCTATTTGTGCACCCGATGTTGTGTTATCTTTGTTTTGTCCTGGAAAGATCATAAAAAATTGCCAGGTATCCGAATACTGGATTGTGACTCTAGGTCACCCACGGGGACAGAGCCTTTCTCAGATGCAGCTCTATGCTGTTTCTGTCTCAGCAAATTTCCAGAAGGGTATGAGGAGTCCAGACTCTTCTCACCTGTAACAGTTGTTGGCGTATTTGTTGTAGCTGCCCAGAGCAGTCAGGCACCCCTGACAGATGGCGTAGGAGAAGAGGATCTGAGTGCCTGCATCCATCCAGACCTGAAACAGAGAAGGTCAGTGATCTCCAGACCTGGCAACAAAATAAACAAAAGTCCCTGTCTAGCAACAGCCTCTCCATCCATACAGAACAAACCCCATGAGACAGAGAGGGGCTCAGTGGATGTAGGAATTGGGATACTTCTCTGGGAAAACTGACCTATAGGACTGAAAGTCTGCTAGGAAGACTCTCCTGAGGGGACAGTATTTTCACATTCCACTCAAGGTGACGCCACTTCTCCATCCCACCCCTTTGCGTTCTTTCCTGATAGCATTGCTCCACCTGAAGTTGACATTTGAGATGTCTATTGTCCCTATGTGGCCCAGGGTTCACAGAGCCATTGGTGAGCTGGCCCAAATGGGGGCCATTGAGTCCTTTGCTTGATCAATGTACTCCCTTCCCCACTCCCCAGTCTAGGTTCCCACATACCTGAGGCCACAGTTCAGGGTGAAGGGCAGAAAATTGCCAGGCTGAGAGAGTTCAGTCTAGTGGGATGTCATGAGCTCTGGCATTGCATGGGAAAAACTGAGTGAGCTTGTTCACTGCTGTTCCATCTCTCTCCCCCATGGAGGAGTCCCTTCACTCCATGTGCTTCAGCTCCACTCTCACACTCACCCAGGCAAAGCCCTGAGCTATGGGATAGCAGCCAGGCAGGAAAACAGCCCACCTTTCTCTTTGCCTCTGTGTTCCCTCTCTTTCTCCTCTAAGCAGCCCCCAGCTGCAAACATCCAGGCAGCTGCAATTTGGCAGCCTTTTAAAAACCCCAGCCTAGGCATTGCTGCTTAAATTCACATGGATGCCTGCCAGGTAGGCAGGTAGACAAGAGCCCTCCAGGCATGGGCACACATTCCGCCTGACCAAAGCCCCACATTCTGTCTAAACTCAGTCACAGCATCTCACAATCCTGCTATGCTGGGCTGCAGCAGCCTGGAAAGACCACGTCAGCTGTAGTTAGGCTGTGAGAGATAAACCGGTTTTCAGTGAATAAGCTCTGACCAGAAATAAAACACATTCAGCCCCAGTCACCCCCCTGTTATTTATTTTGATATTAAAATGCCATTTACATTCAGCTGGCTCTTTGCATTCAGAGTGCCACAGATTTTGTGTTGACAACACATAATTGCATCTGAAAGCCATTTGGGGGAAGACAGTGTGTTTGGCAGCTGGTTTGGGAGCACTTGGGGCTTTGGCCATCTGGGAAGATGCGGGAGGTAAGCGGAGACTGTGGGCTAAGCATATTGCTTGGCTGCCCCCACAAAAAGATTCAGCGATGGAATAATTAGCAGCAGTGTCATTTAAATGCTCTTCTGGAGGGGGTCTGCATTAACTCCTCCCTGGGATGGTGGAGGCAGCCTGTGCAGCCTCCATGAGCCTACATGGCGAAGAGAAGCAACCTGCTGCTACAGAAAGGTGCTAGAGCAGACACCCTGGGGGGATCCTCCAAAGAAGGGTCCTGCTGCTTGCCCTGTGCAGCCCCAAGGGTGCTCCCAACCTCCTCCCAGCTTGAGCTACCTTGCAGGTCCTGGGTTTGGCTGGAGCACAGCACACTTCACTTGTGTGCATTTGGTCTCTGCAAGCACAGGGGCTCTACATTCCCTGGGAGGGCCCTGTTGGAGCCAAACAAAGTGCTAACCAGGCCAGAAAAAAAAGAAAAGTGGTATATTATTTTCCCCCACCCACTTCCTTAATTATTTGCATTTAAGACCCAGCAAAACCATCTGTTACGTGTTGAATATTTCATAGACTCTTTTGGATTTGCTGAGCCCATGAGTTGAAATGACCAAACATACCCATATGCTGCAGACGCACAAGCAAAAATGCTGTGCTATGCTGGAGGACTAGACCCCTTTTAGCTCTTTTAAGGAGATCTCACTGGGTCACTGGTCTCCTTTCAGATGAGATAGCTAGATCCTCAGCCAGCAGCAGATCCAAGGGCCAGGACACTGGAAACTGCACTTTCAGCCAGCACTTTCCTGACCCCCACCCACCTGTGGGTCTGCCAGCCTGGAAATATCTGGCTTCAGGTAGAAGATGATCCCCTCAGCAGCACCTGGCAGCGTGACTCCTCGCACCAGCAGGATGATAAGCATCACGTAGGGGAAGGTGGCAGTGAAGTAAACAACCTGTGGGTGCAGGGAAGCAAGAGGAGAGAGGGTCACTGGGGGAATGGGGGGGGAGGGAATGGTGCAGGCATCATCTCATCTCATCTGCAGTCCCCCTGCCCCAGCAAATGTCCCTGGACTCTGCTGTTGGTTATAGCTGCTACTGCTAGCATGAGAGAGGATTGGGGAAGAAATTAGTCAAGGTTACTTCTCACCAGTGATTTGGTTTATCTACATTTTGTTCTCACCCACAGCTCTGTCATTGGTTGCTCTGCTTTATTTGTCTCTTTCCAGTCAATGTAATTTCCCTGCTCTCCAGCTGTTCTCTTCATCTTTCTAGAGCTGCAGAAGAAACTCAGATCTCTTTGTGTCACTGAGGTTTAATGAGGAGTTATTAAAGTGATCCTATTCCCAGCAAGAGTTTTCCAAATTAAATAGCTTTTGCTGCCCAATTTGAGAAACCTCTGAGGGGTCTCATTTCCAGGGGGTGCATGTGTGGGTCTCTCATCCCCTTCAACGCCTCTGACCTCTGAGTACAAATGGGGGCACCTCAAAGCCTTAAAAAAAATGACCATTATTTTTGTAAAAACTTCCTTTCATTTCTTCTTGTGTGTAATGTAAATAAACGTTACCTTAAAATTAATCTTCTGTAATCCATTGCCTAAGGTAGCATATTTTTTTTCTATTTGCAAAATATCCGCGAACAAGTTGCAACATCCTAATATTTATTCATTATTAAAATTCATCAAAGTAATGTGAAGGCTGGTTTACTCTATGGATTCATAGTGAGGGGCCTAAAAATGACATTTTTTCAGCTTAGTGATAATTGGTCGAATAAGTCACCATACATGGCACTTTTGCTGTTCCCCAACTGAATAAGAATGCAAGCAACTTTTGGCACAAGCACTAAAATCTACCTTCAGAAATCACTTCTGGGAAACATTTATACATACCAGCTGGATGCATAAGGAAAGGAAACATGCAAAGAGCACAAGGGTGGGCAAAATAAATAAAAGGTAAAGACTTTTAAGGAAAATGAGTCTTCACAGAGTTATTTGAAATTATTTTCCTATGGTTGCTATTGTTTCTTTAAGTTCAGACTCCTTAAATCACAGAAGCATAAACACAAGCATCTGGCAGAGTTACCTGATGAAAGCAGAGTCTTAGTCAAGCACAATGTCCTGTTGGCTCTGAGCTGTTCAACAAAATTAATAAGCTCTGTATCCTAAAATCTGTGGTCCCAGGAAAAGCCATTCCAACTACTACCTGCATTTACTCTTTCCTCTCACTTTCTAATATGACTTTGCCAAACCAAATCAGTCCAACCAGCCTGACTGAACATCTTGAGCTTCCTCCTTGGGCAGGCAAGCTCTGCACACCAGGTCAGCACCAGGCAAAGGAGAGAGTCGGTGGAGAGGGTTGAGAGCTGAAGGGAAGCTGGAATGACTGAATTACATTTCCACGCAGATCAAACAGCCCCTCAGGCTCTATCTCCCAAGATCAGAATGATCTCTTGTGAGGATGGCACTGTGGTATTCAAATCAGGGAGCATCAGAGATATAAGAGTTAAAATGTGGACCTAGGGAAATGAACAACTGGCTGTTGCCAATTGACAGTCCGACTCTTCTACACCACCAACTCACCGTTGGGACAACTGGCCACCAACCAGCAGGTGGTGCTTGTTCAGCACCATCACCAGAACCTTGGTGAGCTGGTGGCTCTGCTCATGCTCTGACTTCTGCAAGGGAACTGTATCTATATATATATATAGGGGAGTTTAAGAGTACGTGTCACACAATTTGTAACACAAAAATTTAATTTTAAGAAGATAAAGGCAATTCAATCAAATGTATTACAAACAGCTCATTTCAGATCACAGTCTGAGCATCACCTTTAAAAACTACATTTTTATGTTTTTTAGTACATTTGTTTCTTATTAATTTTTACAAAATGTTTTCAGATGTTTTATAAGTTAGCTCTATTAAAATGGGTGTCCAGTGCAACTTTAAGGTAGGAGATGGGATTTGACATTGAAACACAGGTGTCCAGTACTACAGGGAACATCTGTCAAAACTAGGGATAGTGATTTGAAGGGAAAAGTGGAATTTGGTTCCCCTCCTTCTTGTAATGGGGCATCCCCTGAATGCCCACAAGACCCAACCATCAATAATGACCCACCAATCTCATTGCAGCTCAGGAGGGAAGGAGGTCCTGAACAAGTCAAGGCCATAGCAGTGTCCCTAACACCCACCCCTAGGCGTCACACACTCAGGCACTCCAAAAAGATAACCAGTCCACAGCATCTATGAGATCACATCAGTAGAGAGTATGGATTCCAGCCTCACTATTGAAATGCAGTAAGTGACATGCTGAGCCAAAAACCAAGAGCCAAGGAGAGTACAAAGGCACCACTCCCACACCAAGTGTTCTGCAGGATAAAGAAGCAGGAGAGATTCATTATTTATTCATTGAGCTGGTTACAGGCAGCAGCTTGTCTGTTTTGCTCAAGTGTTTAATTATTGCCAGGGACTGGAAGTTTGCTACTGCAGAGGATCTTGTTAAAAACACCAGAAAGTCACACCAGGACAACACACTAGTGAGTGGATGATACCCAAAGGCACTTTGGGAGTATCTATCAGCCACTACCTGCAAGGGAAAAGGTGACCCAACACTTCCCTCAGTTCCCAGGTCTTTCCCTGGTCTCCCCTCCTTGTTTGACCTTCCTCTCATGAGTCAAACACAACAAGTGTACATTTGTATGGCCCCACCAGGTTTTAACTTTGGTGCTGTGTGTCTCCTGCCTCTACTTGAAGAAAAGGGAAAAGAGATTGAGAAAGAAATGTGAGATGGGTACAAGGAGGCATATGGACCAGGAGGACAATCTCCATTCCTACTTTGCCTGTGGACTTGACCCCTTTCCAGATGCAGAAGTAGCAGATGATCCACGCCAGCAGGAGACACAGAGCCAGCTCCCAGCGCACAGTGCCCAGTTTGTCAATACCATCCGTGAGCCCCAGCACGCGCTTCCTGCCGGTGTCCAGGGACAGGGAGAGAAGCATTAACACCCCAAACTCCACTCATCCATACAGAGCTTTCCCACAATACCCCATCCAAAGACATCACTGACTACCTGCAAGCCATCTGCCCAGGACTCCCAGCCATGTGAATCACCCCAGCTCTGCCCAGGGCTCCCCTCCCTGCCATTCCTGCAACCACCATGCCCTGTAGCTGACCCAAGCCCTCCCTCTCTCCAAGCCCATGGCACTGTGCCCATCAGATCCACGCAGCACAAAATCACCACCTGTCTCACATTGCTTTCCCACCCTGGCAGCTGCCCAGCAGACACTACTCAATCCAAAGAAGGCTGCCAATGCCATTGTCATCCCACGGCCACTGCTCTTCCTCTGACCTCCCCATATACTACAGACAACGTATATATAAGCATAAATGCCCTTTATGATTCCCATGCCTTTCCTTCAGCCTTGTTTTATTAAGAATAACCATCATGAAGATGGGCCATATGAGAGCTAAGTAGTGCAGCTTATACAGTCCCCAGAAGCTCAACCTCACATTTTTTATTCTTCTGCACACTCTTCTCCAAATCAATGCTCTCAGGGTCCCCTTGCCCTTGCAACCTCTGCAGAAAACATGGATAATCATTTCAGAGGGGTCCCAGCTCTCACTATAAACAGTGTGTGCAAAGAATAAGGCAGGAGAGGAGGCCCACCATTGTGCAGACTCCTTCTGTACCCACAGGCACATGTTGTCTCCTCTGTGCTCTGTGGTGGCTGCAGGGGACAAATGACACTCAGACCTTTCAAAGGCACTTTAGGACACTTGAGTGGGAAAAATAAAATACTGCTAAAGGTGAGGCCCTGACACCCTTCTTCCTTATCAGACCTTCCTCAGTTGAGTATGGAGAGGTATGTGGCCCCAGCAGCTATTTCAAACTCTCAGGGCTGCAGTGGTGACCCTCTCTGGGACACTGACTGGCCTACTGCAGGACCCCCCACTCAGAGGTGTTTCATTGCCTCCAGCCCCATGATCAAGCCTCCTTGAGCCCCTCTCTGGCATCTCACACATGCAGTTCAACCCCTGCCCTATGGAGATGAGCCTGAGCAACCTGATGAACCTTTAGGCACCAAGCAAGACATAGTCAGAAGGGGAAAGACAATTTTCTCCCTTTCTGTTTCCCTGTAAAAAGCTGTTAAGTCCACCCTGGCCTCTCATAGCTTGCCTGCCAACACCTAACACAAATACCCCCTGCTTACAGCAAGTCCTCATCTTCTTTTGATACCTCTTTGTGTGGCCACACTCACCCAGGCAGCTCAGTGCCAGAAAGAGAATACACCCATGCCTGTGGGCACACCAGCAAACCTGGGCAGGCACATTGCAAACAGGGTGTATCTAGTCCTCCTGCCCCTGGACTCTGTGACATCTCCTTGGCACCTTGGTCCATTATACTCCCCATGTTTGGGTGTGACACGTGGCACCTCTCTTGGTCCTACAGAGATGCACAGCCCTCCACCTGGATACTCTACAGCTGCAACCTTTGGATGAGAGAGGAGCCTGAACAGAGGAAAAGAGATCACGTACTCCCAAAATTCAATCATTGGGGAGGTGGCATTCGCAGGCAAGGTCCTGTTGTCCAGGCTGGAGCTATTCAGAATGTCCACACAGAGATCTACCAAAAGAAAAGGAAGCTGATGAGCCAGAGAAATTCTCCAAGGCTCCTCCATGAGGGATGCTCCTTCCCCTCTCTACCCTAACCCACACTCTGGCAGCACACAGACCCTTTACCCTGTGCCATAGAGCATCTCATTAAACTCTTGCGTCTCATTAGGCATCTCATTGAACTCTGGCTCTCCCCAGCTATGAGTCCCAATCCAGTAGTAGACAGAGGGCTTCAGGAAGGGGAGAGGTGAAGGAGACAGCAATTCCCTTCCAAATAGAAACCAGATGGCTGCAAAACATAGACTATTGAGGGATGACCACTATGAGTAGCCAGGATAGAAAATCCCATTCTCCTCCCCCACCATGCACCTTTCCTGTCCACACATGCATGCGTATGTTCACAGACACCACAGATGCCTTCATGCTCTACTCTGTCATCCCCAACTCTATCACATAGTGTGAAATTCCTAACACCAGAGCAGATGCCACACGTCCCAGAAAAAACCCTTATCTTGTATTTGGCAAGAAAAAGACAATCCACCGGAAAAGCAAGGAAGCCCAGCTCTGGGTGGGAAGCTTCTGCCTGTTAAGAGAACATCCTTTCCTTTCCTTGCAAACAAACCTATTCTGAATGAGCTGAAGGGATCAGATCCACTTTTTTAAAAGCCTGGTTGCCTCTGCTGGGATGAAGGGCAGTGAAAACTGTGAGTGAATGGCCTATAGCTTGGAGAAATTTAACATGTTATAGAAATGAATCATCTGACCCAAGAGAAAAAAGGAGGGAAGCAAAATACTTCCAAAGCTCTTTCCAGCCTAGCTTTCTACTGAAAGCAAACCAACCTGTTCAACATGCTAAGAAAGGTCTGTCAAGGACATCAGATCCCTGAGGATTGTTTCACAACCACCCCATCTTCCTGGGAACAGCTCAAGTGCCTTGAATAAAAACAAAGCCAGGTCTTCTTTGCTGGGCACTGTTATGTGAATCATGGGCATGAGGAGATGAGACCCCTGGTCAATGTATTGGTATAGAGCTTGTGTGGATGTGCTTAGATCAGAAAACCAGTGCTTCTAGAGCTTTGTGTTACTGGTTCCTGCACTGGGAGACCTGTACTGACAATATTGTCTAGTGCAAGATGGAGCTGATTTAGCCAAAAGCTGAGAACACAAAGAAAACTGTTCAGCAAGTGGCAGCAACTATCGCAGTAACGCCAAAGGAATGGGGTAAAGGGAAACATAAAATAAATTGCTGTACCAAAGATATTGAAAAGTTCTGCCACATGAGGAGGATTCTAGATTGGTTCGAAAACTCTCCTAAACCACCTACCACTCCTGCTTGCCAGAAAATGCTGCATTTCCAGTGAAATCTTTACACCTCAAATCACTCCATGTGGAAACAGTTTTACTGTTCCCTGCTGCTAGGAGGCAGCTGCTTTTGCAGGAGGCCCTAACCACATTGCAGCTCATTAGACATTTTTATCTGAATTAAAAATGGTTTCTGCAAGACCCAAATAATTTCTGGGAATTGGGAGGGAGACAACCAAGGGAAGGTTTACCTGAGTTCCAGGGGTTATTGCAGCTGGCCCATGGTAGCACTGTGGTGAAGGAGCTGAACAGGTAGAAGAGTGCCCAGGACAGGATGATGATGTAGTAAATATTCAGGTACCCCTCAATGATTTGTGAGGCATACCCAATTCCTGTGAAGGAAAGCAAAGGAGGCAAGGATGGGGCTGCCAACCGACTCCCAACAGGTTGGGTTTAACCCTCAAACAAAGACACAGATGGTAAGAGGGGTGTAACACCAACCATATGGCTTAATAGAGAATGGGCAAGACCTACCTTAGGGACAGTATTTTTTGACTGTGCATGCAGACAGGAAACATTGTTAGTATCTCTACACAGGTCTATGGTGGAACAGAGAGAAAGCCTTTTGCTGATGGGAAAACTTTTCTGACCACTACCATGCCATGGCATTACACTGCATCTCCTGCAGGAAAGCCAGCTCCAGCTTTTAAAGAAAAGACATGCAGGTGAGTTTCTCCTTTCTGAAAAGACTCAGGCAAAAATGGTTCTCACTGCATAAAGTCTTGTGTTGGGGCAAAAGTTAGGACCTAGGAGCTGAGCTCTGGTCTTGGGTCCTGCTTGTGCCCATCACTCACTGAGACATCAGAACAGTAATCAGGTGATGGGGTCAGAAAGGCCCAATTCATTTGTTTAAAACTGTTTTTCTGTGTCCTTTGAGATGCCACTGCTGTCCACCTCCAGGCCCCGTGCCAGAACACTCGGGGTCTCCAGTGCAGGAGGTCCCAGATTCCCCAGGTTTCAAATGGCACCACTCACCTGTGCTTGAGCAAGCTAATCAGGCCTTTAATCTACCTGAGCACAGGTTTCTCTGACTACAACACATAGGAAACAAGCTCTCCTCTGGACAGGAAAATTTTGGATGTTAGATTCATTAACATATTAATACCATTAAACAACCTTCCCCATGGCCACAGGAGTCCTGATTCACAGATGTATGCCTTAACCACAACTCCAGCCCATCTCTGGGCTCTCAGGCAAGTGCATGCAGTGTCATTCCCCCCAGTTTGCAGGACGCCAGCCTGCAAATGCTGTCACAGCAGCTCTGGGCACAGCAAGGGGCAGGGAATGTGCCATAACCCAGCCAGCCTTCCTCATCTTTGTCCCTCTTCAGTATTTTTCCTGGACTACATGCCAGTGTTTGTGTACAGACACTTCCACCCTCTTCCTCCTGCTTGCTGGCCATCCTGCTCCTCCCCTCTCCCGAGCTCTGATCACTTCCCAGCAGAGACCATGGTTGGGCTGGACCAGCACAGCCCCCAGCCAGCACCTCACACCCCAGTCACCTACAGGGGTGTTGGGGCACTGTCCCTGCACACACAGCAGCCACCAGGAGGGGAAAAACAAGGCTGGAACAGAGGGGAAGGGAGGAAGAATAAAGAAGAAAGAAGAGAAGAGAAGAGAAGAGAAGAGAAGAGAAGAGAAGAGAAGAGAAGAGAAGAGAAGAGAAGAGAAGAGAAGAGAAGAGAAAAGAAAAGAAAAGAAAAGAAGAGAAGAGAAGAGAAGAGAAGAGAAGAGAAGAGAAGAGAAGAGAAGAGAAGAGAAGAGAAGAGAAGAGAAGAGAAGAGAAAAGAAAAGAAAAGAAAAGAAAAGAAAAGAAAAGAAAAGAAAAGAAAAGAAAAGAAAAGAAAAGAAAAGAAAAGAAAAGAGCATTTCTAAAAAGGCTCTGGGTCACTAGTGGTTAGAAAGTGCTGCCAGTAATTTCTGTTACTTGACTGACCTTCAAAGATGGGACAGATCTTCCTCCAGGCAGTGACCCCTCCCTGGCTGGTGTACTGCCCCAGCGCCGTCTCCAGGAAGAACAGGGGGATCCCGCAGGTGAAGAGGAAGATGAGGTAAGGGATGAGGAAGGCTCCTGCAGAGAGGGATAAGATGCTGCCTCAGAAACCTCTTTAAAGTCTCATCCCCTGCCACCCCTTGCCAGGTACCTGGGTCCACAGCTGGAGTCAGCTAGATAAACACAAACATTTATCTGAATTAACTGTGCAAGCTCTGCTAAAAAAATTAATAATAAAATGTCTCCAACATCATTATTTTTTTGGAAAAAAAATACTAGTGTGGTCTCTCTTGTGCTACTGCAGTACTTCTGCATTTGTTCTTGGCCAAAACCTAGAGATAAGGAGTAGCCAGGCCAGAGGATAAAAAGAAGAAGAACAGTTTCCCACAGACAGTACTGGAGAAGTTGTCCCTGATTCACTCTCCTGACTTTGTTCTGGCTTTCAGCAGGGATCAGGTGAAGCAAAAGGAGCCCTTGTTTCACATAACCACACTTGTTCTGCCCTTCTCAGGAGCCACAGGAAAACTCTCACTTGCCCAGAGGATACAAACCTAGAGGCTAGTGACATTCCTTGGTAAGTAATAACTTTGTGAGGATAGACATTTTCTTGAGACATATTTCATGACAAATTAGAAAAGCAGTTTGCACCAAAAGAATGGAATTAGGGGATGGACAGCTGAGTATCTTTCCAACACGAAAAAGCTTAACTTTCCTCTTCAGTTTAATTTTCTTTATTAAATACAGAGAAATGTCTTAAGAGAATCAGCCTGAAATGGCCCTCAGATTAACCCTGAGTGAATTGAAAATGAAAAGGGAGAGAAAGCAAGTTTTTTTCTACACACATTGACCAACAAAGGGTCAGAAAAAAACAATTTAAAAAAAAAGTTTAATGCCTAGGATTTTTTCCTTCTTTTCAGTTCTGCTGCCAAACCAAAACCCTGATATTTTCACTGTTCTCCTCAAAACTGCTCCTGAGATTTCAGTTTCACTGCTGACCTTTATTCTATCACCTCACAGTTTTTCTCCCTGTCATTATGGTAGGTTTTCACACTTTTGCTCCTCTCCAGAGAGGCCAAGGCAACTGCTTTCCTCACTGAATCAACTACTGAGGTCTTGCCATCCCAAAGAGTAAACTTCTGGTCACGAGTACCTCCCAGTGCCTGGAGAGCATCTTGACTGTTTGCAACCATGATGAGGGCCCCTTGCTCAGCCCAGCCAGACCTTGTCTCCCAGGCTCTCTCCTCCCCTGCCAGCACAGGCATTCACACTGAAATTCCTACCCATGACAACTAGCAGCTAGGAACACTTTCCCTTTGTTTTTAAGCCAACAAAGTTCCAATAACAAGCAACACCCAAATTTCTCCGAAGCACAGCTGTGCTATAGCTGCAGGGGACCTCGGGCCAGAGAGAGGGAGGCTGATTCACAGCATCAGTCCAGGTTTGCAGAGCTGGGAATGGGAACTGCATATGCTAAACTAGAGGCAGCTGCTGCTTTCAGAGCTGCAAGACATCTCTCTGTATGTCAAATCTGCAATACAGTTCTATGTTGCACACAAACAAGCCTTTCAGCAGGTCCCAGACCCACTCCTTGATACCATTCGTCCCAGAGGTTGATTCATTTTCTGAGTGAATTCTGATTCAGTTTCTGAGGTTCTCTGAGTGATGAGGGATTTCTTACACCCCTGTTGTCTTCTCTCTCTAAACCTTCCCAAAGTACTCGCCACCTGCAACTCCCATGTGATTTCAGTTTGCTGCTCCACTGGAGACTCAGCCCTGAGAGGGTCCCCCAGAAACACACTCTGTCTCCTTATGAATCAATAACAGGTTCAGGATGCTGAGCAATTAGATGGAATTTGAAAGTGCAATCATAGATAAGTTTACACTGGGTTGCTTTACAGCAAGTTAGCACAACTGTTTTTATGACATCTGTCTTTACAGCTTTATAACCACATCACTGCATCCAAAGGTGAAGCAAGATGACAGGACATCAGTCTCCAGTTTGGGGTAGAGGGGTGAGTGGGACCAGGACACAACTTTCATAGGTGGAAAATGTCTGTTTTGCAATTTCAAGAACTTTTTGCATGCTGAGAATACCTTTGACTGTCATGGGAAAGACAGTGCCTTCTCCTTCACAAGCTTGTTGGCCATCTGATTCCCTAGAGCCCTAGGGAGAGAAATGTACCTTCTGCAGTAGTAGCACACTTTCTGCAAAGGCAGTGTGTAAGCTGTGAGGGAATGACTCTCCCATCCTATTTTTTCCCAAGCCCAGCCTTTTTAGCCTCTGAATCACAGTCTTAGATATTCCAGAGTAGTTTAATTAAAAAAAGGAAAAACAAAGTTCTGCAGTGGAGATCTAAAATGAAGAGAAGTGGCCTTTTCGCTTACACTAATTAGCATATAAATTGCAAGGACTACTGAACTAGATACCATACACACAAGCTATGCAAAGATATCATCTGGGCTCAGGAAGAAATTTTCCATGCAAAACCCATGACTTCTCTCTCACAGCGTCAATGCAGAATGGACTGTTCAATCATATGCAGTGGTGCATATGATTAGTAACCCATGTTGCTCTGACCTACTTTTGGTGCCTCCAGTGCCTACCACCAAAACCTCAGAGAAGGAGAGTAGATCTCCTAAAAACCACGTCAATCTCAAGAAAAACTCGATTCCATTTTCTTTAACCATCCTCTTATCCAACTCCTATTCGGTTCAGAGGAGATGTTGTATTGACTCCTGCTTGATTTGAATAAACTCCAGTAACATCATAGGGGACAGATACTACGTAGTCCTGGGATGAACTATAGCTGAGTCATCAATTGGTGAAAGCTCACAGCACTTTGAGAAGGAAAGGCCTCTGTGATGTGGCCTGCAGAGAAAGGAAATTTAAAGGGGGGGAACATGCAAGTCCCAAAACATTGTTTCAAGGTGTCTCTAGAGAACAAGAACAAAAGAGACATTGTTTCTGTATTTGACATGCAATTCATTATTCCTCCTTTTCTTTTTTGAAGCTAGATTTTAACTCACCAAGAAAAGTTGGTGACAGTCAATTATTCCCGACCTCTTTCCCAGTTTCATTTTATTGTTACAAGAAAACTAATTCTTAACCATGTCAAGATCTTGTTGCAGTATTACTGGAAAAGGGGAGTCATGCAAGAAACAAAATGGAAGGGGAATTAACTCTTCCTGTGGACAGGTTTCCCTAGCAGTAGATTGACCACTGGGAAAACTGTTCCTATGGAATAGGTAGCAATGTCCTTCTAGGAGGTATCAGGCCTCAGCAAGGATATCAGCACCATAAAAGCCTTTCCTCCTCTGCACCAATTGTCTGCGAGAGATGGGGGTGCCACAGAGAGTGGGAACAGGGAATTATGTAGAAGGTTGCTGATGGCTTGCTGACTACTCACAGCATTTGATGGTTTCAGAAGACCACCTGTTTCTCGAGATGCCCAAAAGCCTTAAAGACTTGCTAAAGTTCAATTCGTCATACAAAACTGGGAGAGCTGCTTTGAGAAACAGTAGTCACTGGGCAGCTGGATTCACCCCTCCGTTTTCATTTCTCACTGTTTTGGAAGGACCTAACTTGCTGGAGAAGAGAATAAGGGAGCACATGTGGAAGCACATGAAGCATAGGAGGAACGGGTCCAGGCACACACATATCTCTTGTTGTGCCTGCAGACCTAGGACAACTCATGCATGCTGTGAACTTACCACCGCCGTTCTTGTAGCAGAGGTATGGGAACCTCCACACATTACCCAGACCAATGATCTCCCCAGCCACAGACAGGACAAATTCCATTTTGCTATTCCACTGGCCCCTCTCTTCCATTTCATCTTTTTTTATCTCTTCAGGAGCTGTTATGGCCTCATTGGACACTCCTTCCTTAGCCCCAGCTCTTGTCATGGCTCTGTGGGATAGAAGAAAAATAAAACATGGGCTATAGGGAGTTGCTGTAGGACAAGCTGGCAGGAAAAGGAGGGAGGGGACCAGACTCCACAACAGATGTGTTCCTAGTATTACTTTAAGGTTCTTTCATACTATGGAAAAATGGGTTCTTTAGCTTAAGCACAAATAATTTTCCCCAAGTTATGTGTGTGGGACAGAACGTCTGTACTGAATGGACAGAAGGTCACTGGTCAGGTGCAATGGGCCTACCTGCCCCACTCCTTCACTGGACTCATCCCCAAATTTACCCTTTCTCCCCACACAGCTCCCTTCTTTCCCACACAGCCCCCTTCCTCCCCACACAGCCCCCTTCCTCATTCTTCCAGACCATCAGCCTTAGTGTGTCTCCATCTGCCTCTCCACATGCTGACTAAATGCTCTACCTCTCCATCATTGCTAGAAACTTGGCTCCTTTCAGTAACAAACAGGCATGAGCATGAGTCCTCTACCTTTGCCCAATCCTGCAAAGAATACAGAGTGAGGAAACAAAGCTCCTGAGACCAGGTAGTTGTGAGGTGTTTCAGGCCTGGGCAAGGGAGCATGAGTACTGAGATCGCACAAGCTCAGTTATTGCAGTGAAAATGTTAGTAGGAAAAAGCCCAGCTGTGGAAACATGGGGCAAATTCTGTTGGAAGAAAGTGTATTGAGTGTGACTGGGCCTGCAGGGTGGTACAAGGAAGACATTCTCAGTCTGTACTAAAACCTGAAGTATGTTTAGCATGCCCTTAATTAATCAATTAAGTTAGTGGCTTCTTGTTACAAGATACAATTTTCTATTATACTTAAAGTACTTTAATTGCCTAGTTCATTTAAATCCAGCCTAAATTCACATAGACCAGACTGAATCTTCTTCTTGACATTTTCATATTGTTCACAGGCATTTGATTATAGGACAAAATGAAAGTGTGAAGAGATAAAGCTGCCTTTGACTAAAAAAAAATTCCCCTCAAAAGCTTGCTCTGATGAGTTACCTGAGGCAAGGGTGCACATGTGGGTCCAGCCAGAAAGTACATGAAGAACAAGAGCTGAGTAGCTGATGAACTACACCAGGGAAGTTCTAACTCTAGCTACATCTCACTGGTGACATTACTGAGCAGAAGCTGGCTTTTGAAGGGGTGATTGGCATCAGCAATGATTACACATCTCCACAATTAGGATTAGGAAACTACACTGGAAACAAGCCTCTCCAAAGCATCTCAGCTTCCATTCCCACTGAGATTACCAAGAAATCAGGGCTCTGTTCCTTCACATTAACTTACAGATTGTTTGCTTGTGGTTTGATAGGTTTTAGTAGCACATCTGTCATTCCATGTCTCCTAAGGGGACATTCCCATTTCCAGGGAGCTTCAGGGACAGCAATCTGCATCCCACACAATAATTAACTCTTCCACTGCTCCTGGATCTGCCCTGGACCACTTCAGCTTGTTCTCTCCCAGGAAAAGTCCAAGCACAGCTCTGAAGGTGGCTCAGGCCAGGGATCTCTCACAGTCAGCAGGTCAGCCATGAGCAACACCTCATCACCCTGGATGTCCTCTACTGATAGGACCACCAAACATATCCATCAACCTTTTGCACCAGGATGGTGCACCAGGACCATGATGGCAAACTATTCCCTCCCTCCTTGTGCCTAGTCTCTCTCCAGTAATTTCCTTCTGGGCTAGCATCACTGCATAAGCCATCACATGGAGAGCAGGGAATACCAGGCAATCTGACCTAACTGGAAATAAGAGCAAGTGTAGTCCTGGCATCAAACTGGCCCAGAAACACAACAGCACTTGTTTTGGTGCAGTTTTCAATGAGGCAAGGGGGAAGCAGGAGCAGAAACTTGTTGGCCATGCTTGCACTTACTCCACACAAGACGGCATCGTTATCACCATGCCTCATTTGTTTCTGCTAGTTTCCCAGGGGAAATGAAATAATTTCCTAAATACTAACCCACTGGATCGGGCCCTGGGGCAAAGAAAGATTCTTGCATGTGAAGAGACAACTTGATAGCAAAGCATGGAGTTTTTTGGCACAAGGCTTGTTCCCTATCTCTGTCATTGAAGTAAAGAAAGAAAACCAGATCTCACAGTGTAATGCACCAATTTCTCTCTAGATGCCCAGGGCAACAACAGTCTTCATTCCCCCATCTGCTGAAAGGCCCATCCTATTCCCTCTGAGATCAGTAGCAGACTGCCATGGGCTCTGAACTCAGAGGGCTAAATCCCATACAAAGCATTAACATTGCCTTTAGTAAGAGGGGCTGCAGCAGGAACAGGGGAGCGCAAACGACAGAGAGCATTCAGGCATCAGTGAAGACCATCCTCCAAGCTATATAGCTGCCTCTTCAAGAAAACTGCAGGAGGATTCTGATCCTCTATTAAATAGAATTATTTCCACAAAGGGCCTATACATGGGCAGTACACAGCAGTGGGCACAACCAGGCCTGGTGTCAGATGCAGGCGCACCAGGGCACTAAGGAAGCAACCTCCCTTTTTTCCCCAGCCCTTGCCCTTTATGGTCCATATGCTAGAAAGAACCTATTTACTGCTATGGCTTGCACTGCCCCAAATCCACCAAGTACTACAACACGTGTGGATTTACACTTGAGTGTGAAGCTGAATCAGTCCTCCAGCAGGCTCATACAAACCTCTAACCTCACATTTCAAGAAAGTGGTGCAACCCAGAGACCAAGGCACGCACCCTAATGAGAGTACATGCAGAGCTAGCAGCTCTGCAGCTCACCAACAGGGAGTTCCTCCCAGTCCCAGATCCTCCAGCCAGTTATTCTCAGCTTCTGAAGCCCAGGCAAGGCCTCTTTCCCCATTGCTTGTTTGCAGTAAGGCCTGCCAGCTGGCTAATCAGTTCATTCAGATGCTGCAGCACAGCCTCCTCATCTTTGAGAGGAGCAGAGCTCCACACACTGTCAAACCTGAGAGAAAAAAGTTACATGTACTTAATGAAACGTGTTTGATCTGTCACAGTCCTTGGCACGTTCCAATTTGCTGCAGTCCAGGACCCATTATCAAGTACAATGATGCTTAAATCTGGGTTTATTTGGGATGTAATGAGAAGCTGACAGGAGAAGACTTAGCTAGTTCTTTGCTTTTATTCTTTTAATGCAAGGTGTCTCAAGAGCCTGCCTATTTCTACTAATATTTGTATTTTACCTGGTTTTGTGTTAGACCTGTTTCACACATGGGGGAGGGGGAAGATCACCATTAGGGAGTCACCTCCTCTCACCCAGCCCCAGGAAGGGAGGGCCAGCTGACAGCCTCAGCCCTGTCACCAGCCTCCACCTCAGGGACACCTAGACCCAGGCTTTGACTCTGCACCTGTCCTCTGACTCTTGAATAGGCCAGCACAAAAGACAGGACCTGGGACATTGCAATGGAGAACATGGTTGGGACAAACACAGGCCAGCAGGGGAGGTACAGCATTTATGGCTTTATTTTCCAATTTTAAAATGGGGGAAAGCACCCTGGTTATGGAATCAAACCTTCTCAACCGGGAACAGGTGGTAGATTAAACCAGTGCCCAAAGTTTTGGCCCTCTGTTCCATGAGATTCAGCTTCTCCCTTCCCAGACCAAGTGATGCACAGCATTATACATCTCCACTGCTTCCCTCTTTGCTTTGCCTGCTGTTTCTATGAGAAAGCCTATTCACATACCTCCTGGCTCTTTTCCTGAACATCTAATCCTACTGTGACCTTGCCCTATATGTTCTCAGGCCAGATGGGGACTCAGATAACTTCTTCTGTCCACCTAGGAACAATCTGACTCTCCCATAGCAGCCGCAGCCACCCACTGTGGCTCCTCCTCAACAGGCAGATGTTTTATTCTCCCTTTGGATGCCCCTCTCCTTAAAACACACGAGTTTGGGGAAAAGACTTTGCCTCTCATTGCCTGCCTGCACTTTTTCTGCTGTTCCTTCATAAAAGTTTGGAGAAAAATCCTCCAAATCCTTCATTCCCAGCCTCTTTTTTTTGCTCTTAAGAGTTTTTCCAACTCTTGAGATGTTGCTTACATAACTCACAGTCAACCTGGACCCACTCAGTTGCCACCACCATCTTCCCTCCTCAGCTCCCTTTGACCTTTCCAGCTTCTTCTAGAGGTGCTCTGATGTATTTTGAACCCTCAGCACTTCCAGGAAGTGCTTTTTTCCAAGCCTGGAGTATCCTTTGCAGACAGGATCCCCAGCCTGTTGTCTTACCACAAAGAGGAGGGGACAGCCCAGTGCAACAGGCAGCTCTGTATGAAATGATACTGGACTTGGTACCGGGCTTGGTGGAGGCAGCCACATTTTTCCCCACAAGATTTATTGCTGAGAAAATAAGAACACACCTGGATTCCCCCAGGCACTAGAGAGGAGGCAGCATGTAGGCAACCATAAACACAGACAACAACAAGTTCAGTTCTTCAATATTTGATTGAGGTAGCCCAGTCTCCCCTTGATCACAAATTTTGGTCTGTGTTTGTCTCACACCTACCACCATGGGATCCTGAAAGTATGGCCACAAAAGGCAAGGAAAACCAAGGACAGCTCTGAATCTGTGTAGACTCACCACTTTTGTCTGATGTGCTGAAGGCACAACACAAAGCTGCAGGAAAACAGCATTTGTTGGCTTTATTTGGGAGCAAGCTGCAACTAAAGGGAGGAGGCAGGAATCAGAAAGAAAAAAAAAAGGAGAATCAAAGTGTCCTTCAAAAGAAAAACTCAGCCTCTCCCAAGGCAAAAAAGGGCTTGTTCAGGGCTGCTCAGGAAACTCAAGGAACAAGAGAGACAAGAAAGATGAGAGAGAAGCTTCCCAAGATTTTGGCACAGGAGGAAGAAGCTGTTAGAGGCTCTCCTAAAGCTTTTCTTCCCACAAACTTACTGCCTCTTCCCAACTACTATCACAGAGGAGCTCCTACTGCTGGGAAGTTAACATCCTCCATTTGACCTCTTCTGCTGTTTTATCTTAAGGCAATTGAGAGGAGGACAATCTCAAGAGTGAACAGTAAAGGAAAGTGAACAGAGATGCCATTAAAAAGCAGCTGATAACGTTTATTAGAAGCACAATTTGAAAGTACCTTTGGACACTTGTAGGTGCTGCTTGAGCTGCAGAAGGTAGAATCACAAGGGACACTGCAGACAGCTGCACTGCATTTCTATTTCTTGGTTTCCTTTTGAAACAAGCAGCAACCAAGCACATAAACTTCAGTTTAAGGTGGGGAGGGAGGAATCAGAAAGCAAGCAGGTTGGGCTGGGTTACAAAAGGAGGAGCAGGAGGACACAGAAAATTTTCTGGTTGCATAATAAGAGCCAGCAGTTAGTTGGCAGCTGAAATTCTGTGTCGCATTTTGATGGCAGGAGGTGGGGGCAGTTGTGGAAGCAGAGACAGAAAATCTGGGCTCAGCAAGGCACAGCAGTGCCAAGGTACAGCTCAAGGAACAAACCCAGTTAGATCAGTGCGTGGGGACTGAAGCTGGAATAGGTCATATCTGCAAGATGGACAGGAAAGCACTAGCAGTAGAAATAAGTGCTTTCCAGCCAATCTAAGAGCAGCTACATGAATGGGGCTGGCTGCTTCCAAACCTGACTGCTGCTGGGGAACTGCTTGCTCCAGCGGCAAGGAGAAAGGCAAGGAAAAAAAGTAGCAAGAGAAAAACTGATCAACTCCAAGACAGCAGTCAAAATTAAAATGCCTTTCATTTCAAGCTGTTGAAAGCGACTTGGCTTTTTTATACCTCCTAATTAACTTCTAGGTTGTCTTGGCTGCAGGGCATTCCCTAAGCATCTGTTAAGCAAGGTTTGGGGGGCACAGGAGGCTGTCACAAGGGTCAGATCCTGCTTACATTTTCTCCAACATGAAATAAGAGCCATGCTTGTGCAGTCGGGGAGTTTGCTCCTGACACCAGCAAGAGTGAGACAAGAAGCAACTGTGAGTTTAGTAATGACATGTACATCTGTGATGAAAGCTGCAAGGATTATAATAGAGCATCATCCTGCAGAGCATACACCCCCAACTCAAGAGGGGACCAAATGACTCCTGCCCTGCTCTCTACTGCCAGGACAGGAGATCCTCCCACATACCTAGCAGTGACTGGACTTCCCTGAGGATCAGTAGCAAATCCCTTGCTAAAAGCAGTGTAGGCTGTTGTTCTCACTGTCAGTTCAGTGTCTGTGACCATGGCTCACCATCCTTGCTCTGGGATACAGAGATAAGGAGATGGTTTTTTACTTCAGTCTAGAAAAAAACCCAAGACTAACTGATGAAGTCCATAAATGGGGTGTAATTATGATCAGAAACCAGCCTTTGCATCAAACCAGATACTCTCAAGACTTCCACTCAGCCCATAGTCAGGTTGTATCCACCGTCATATAGCAGAAGGCCCAGTCACATGAAAAAACCCCTCAGGATCCAGCTTCTTACCACAGCAACGGGTCTCCTACGGATGCAAAGCCAGGCCAGCACCGGGGCAGCCCCTGGAGCCACACACTCCCTAGAGCCAGAGGTGTCTGGCTGAAGTCCTGCAGCTGTGTCAGGCTTGCTCAGAGGTCCCAGTGCACAGCCCAAGTGTGGAGACAGCAAAGCTTCTGCCACCGCCTGCAGGAACAGAGCAGGTGAATGGCACAGAGGGTGAAAACCACGCTGCTCCAGCACCCACTCTGCAAACAAGAACTGCAGGGCCACGGTGGGGCAGAGACCTTGGTGCAGTCCTGAGGTGCACCACAGTGACAGGACAGAGTCCACAGGAGGGGACACAGTGGCTACAGGACTGCCACCTCACCGAGGCAGCAAATGCAGGGAGCAAGGCAGTCCTGTGCAGGTCAGGTGAAGGAAGGGAGCCCACCAGCCCCTAGTACTGTGGCTTGGCCCCCTGCTGCTGACCCCAAGGGGTTAGGGAAGGGTAGGCAGCAAAGCAGCTACCCTCTGCAACTGCCTCTGGGTCCTCAGAAACCTCCTAGCATCTGAAGTGCTTAAAATCCTTGCAGTGTCCTCCATGGGGCTGCTGCACAAGGGTGGGAAAGTAGAAGAGCCAGCACCGCTGGTAGCCACCGTCTCCAAAAGTCTGTGGTTCAAAGGCAGGAGAGCAGTGCAGGGGATTTGGCATCTCACTCCTCTGGGCACTTCTAGCTAAATGCCTCCAGATAGGAACAGCCTGGCTAACTTCCCAAAAGCACAGCCTGGGGATGCTTGCTCTCAGAGTGATGAGAAACAGGGAGCACAGGGAAGAGTACTCAAGAAAAACTCTTCCAAAAGACAGGTGAGGTTATGGCACGACACATTACCTTATGCCTCCCAGCAGTGAGGGTGAGGGGAGCCAACAGCTTAGTTGACAGAGAGCAGTGCCATGGCAGAGCTGTGTGTGCAGCCACAGCACAGCAGCAGAGCAGTGCTGGATGGGCTCCCTGCCATGACTGTCCCCACACCGGGCTCCCTTGTCAGCCCACACAGGGAGCACAGCACCCCACATCCTGCTCCAGCACAGGCTGGGGAGCTACCTGGGCTGACCCTGGGCAGGCTCAGCCATCTCCAGTTGGTGCACAGGACAAGGCACATCAGGTGAAACTGGGACAGGCAGAGACATGTGCAGACTCCAATTCTAGCAGTGTGGTAACCCCTTTCTAGCAGTGCCTGCTGTAACACTGCAAAGTGAAGGGTCTGCATCCCACCTGAACCCTCCGAGAGGCAAGACATCTGCTCTCCAATCTGAGGTGCCAAAGCTTTCCTATATCCCTGCCCAGGAGCACAAGGCTCATTAGCCTGCACCCTTCAAGGACCACAGCTACACCACTAACCCAGCACAGCTGGGCTGTTGCAGAGCTGCAAAAGTTGGGTCCAATGTTCGGCCTCTGGTATCAGCAGCTGTCAAAGAGGAAAACCTGAGGCCATGGCATTTCCAATGGCATTGGATGAAAGCTTTCGTTAGTAGTGATTACTTTAAAAGCACTGTTGATTTAAGGAGACACAGATTAGGTGTTGTGAAACCCCCGTGTATTCCGCCTGGGTTTGTTCACAAGTACATCCACAGATCCCCAAAATTCAGCACACGCACAAACTGTGCTTTCTCCCTGCCTCATCTCTATACAGGATCAAATTTGATGAAGCCTTTGAGGCATGAGGAACAAGGAACACACTCCCAGGCACGTCTTTTAGAGCTGCAGCCCCCAAGTCGATGTGCCAGGAGGGCCAGCACCTCTGCAGAGCAGCTCAGGAGGAGAGGCAGTCACTGCCTCAAGTTTGCAGGAGCTGAAATACCCACAGCCTCCCTCCCTCCTAGCAAGCACCTTTTCTCTAGTCCCTGTTATCACCTAGCCATCACTACCCTTCATCACCATCCCTGTCTGGCCCACTCTCATCTCCTGTCTCAATCTTAATCTGAGACCCTTTCTTTCTGTGGTCTGAGTCCCTTTCCTGGCAGCAGCCTCAGCAGAATTGCTGCCTGTCCTTTCCTATAGGAACCACTGAAAGAAAAACCTTTTCCCTGTGTTGATCCAAACTGATTATTTGCTCCCCATCCTCCAGCTCTCTCTTCCTTTGCTTAAGTTGGGAAGCCTTTCCCCATGCAGATTTGCTGGCCCACTCCCCAGTGCACAGCAGACAGCTGGCAGGCAGCAGCTGGAGACACCAGTACTCCCAGCATGACATGCACATCCAGCCAGATCTGCTCAAACAGTTCTTCCCACCTCACCTGAACCCAGTGCAGGTCTCTGTCATGCAAGCCCGTCCTGTCCTGTCCTACTGGAATCCAGGCAGGGAACCCAGTGATTGTCAAAAAGACACAGCAAGAGTTAAGGCAAAGACTCCCCTCTCTCCTCCTCCTGTCCCTCCCCTTCCAACAGCTCCCCCCACCAAACTATCACCCAGCTCATGTGTGGGTGGTGGGAAGGGAGGTGCATCAGGACAGGAGAACTTTCTCCCCAGTTCCCTTACAACATACACCTCTCCAGACCTTGAACTGGGGCCCCAACAGGAAAGCAAGAAAAGAAAGCAGCCACAGTTGGGCAGGGTAAAGGCCCAAAGTTTGGAAAGACCAGCTGCAGCGGCCAGTGGAGTGACTCCAGGTCCTCTTGACCTCAGTGGGATGAAGCTCTCCCCTTGCAGGCCCAGGCTGCCTGCCACGTATCCCTACTGCTCTGGGGCTCCAGCACTTCAGGGGGATAGTGGCATCCCTTGAAACTGTCCTGCAATAGTGCAGAATGAATCATTTCCATCCCCTGGGACCACTACACCAAACCTGCTTCAGTAGCCAACTCGAGGCTCACCAACACCATCAGGCAGATGGAGCAAAAGGAGCAGGTGGAGTGGGAACATTTGTCCCGGGTTCAGACAGATCTCTCTGTCCCTGTGCAATGCACTGCAAGTGCAGACATAACTCACAGGAGAGAGCTCTGTCAGCAGGCAGAAATATTGCCGGAGTCTTTATTTCTATAATGCCTGTGTGCTTACTAGAAGTGAGTAATCCCTCTGTGCCTTTGCCCTGGCAGCTCTCCTTGTATCTGCCTCAACCCTGATGTGCTTTTCCAGGCCTTCTCACAACCAACATGAGCAGCAGGCATACCAGTTAGGCCATTTCTCTCAAGACTGTTCAGCTCAGATTTTTATTTTTTTTTTAATGTTATGCCTAATGCTATCACTGTTTTGTCTTTCGCTTCATCTATTAATGTGCCTGCCAAATTCCTATTGACCTTTTCCTGCACACATGTGGTCAAACCACAGCAGCACGTGGGATGGAAGCTAGGACACACGGCAGCACAAGCTCTGATCTGCTCGTCTGTGTCAGAGCTCACCAGACCAATATCCCTCAGCCCCCCCAGAGGAAAACCTGGGAGCTGAGAAAAGCCCTCACTTCCCCTCACTGGGGAAGCTGTAGGTTTAAGTACCTGTACACTCTACAGAGGTCGTTTGTAATGTTGACTCAAGAAAGGTCCTCCACAGGTGCCAGAAGCCAGTGAACCAGATGGCATCAGAGCATGTCAGATTGCCCTGGGGACAAGGAAAGCTGGAGATGTGCGTGAAGGGAGTTGCCCTCGTGCCTGTCAGGATCCTTAGGATAAACCACTGAGCCCCATGCTGGAGGCAGCAGGGTAGAACATCTCAGCTCACTTTGAGGATGTTTATTTACTACCTCAGCTGTCACTGGGGGCAGCCAGTGTGAATGCACACAGCTGGGCACTGTGAAGAGGGGGAAGGGCCCCTCAGAGTGAGTGCTGGGGGATGTCCTCAGGGTTGGGGAGCTCTGAGCCAGCCCAGTCCTGTCCCAGAGGCCCCAGCTGGGCAATGGGGATGTGAGGGCAAAGGACTGGGTGGCAGGCAATGCCTCTTCATAGCAGCCAAAGACAACATGCAGTACCTTGTTTCCAGGATTAAAATTTCCAAGCATGCAATTTTTCAAAGCCCTGGCTTTCACCTACCGTTTGGGCTAGTTGAAAGGACTGGTTCCACATCCAAAGAAATACAGGCTGATTCTTCCATTGCACGAGCTGGGATCAACATCAGAGGGGCCAGGCTCCTTCTTCTGCCTTTTGGGAGCTGCCTCTGAGGTCCTGAAAGATTGCAAGGTAAACATCGTATGCTGACTACACAACACAGGCACTGAACTACTTCTGTCACTACTTATGAAGGACAGTGCTGCTGCTCATGCTGCTACAGGGGACTGGTGTGACCCAGCACAGCTGGGGAAAAGGTGCAATAGAGGTTATCTAGATATGAAAACTGGACTGAGATTAGCCTCGGTAAGCCGAGCTGACCTAAAAACTTGATTTACCCACACTGAATTGTTTCTCAAGGACATCTCAGGGTTTTTTTGCAAAACAGTAGATGGGAAATTACCTGTGACATTAAGGTAAAACAAGAAGGAAGTCAAGCTAAATGAAAACTTTATCCAGCAATGTGTGAAATTCATTCTCCAGCAGGAAAAAAAAGGCTGCAGTTTCTGCTTTCCAGCCCAGAAGGTACCAGAAGTTACATGCAGGCTTCAGAGTTTTCCACCAGGCAATAATACACTGTTATTAAATCCTGCTACAGGCATGGGGCACCTTTATCTCACCATGGCAGCCCTCACTTGAGGGATTGCACTAGTGTGACAGCCCAGACTGAAAACCAGAATATCACCTTCTGACCAGCTCAGATGTGGGAGTTACAGACTGCACTCAGCATCATCCCAAGAGAGAGCAAGGAAAGGATGACACACTCCCTGACCACTAATTGTCATCCTCACTGGCAGACACAGGCCCTGAGCTGGCACCCTGGGCTGTGCAGCTGAGCAGGTAGGACAGGGCTGCTAAAGGACACAGCAGTCTGGCTTCAGGTCTCTGCACTGCAGGGGTTCCTCTCCTGCCATTGCCATGGGCAGAGGCAGCTTCCTACAGGGACTAGCAGAGTGGCATTTTGTGCTGGGATGCAAATTTGCCAGCAAGCCCAATGAGAGGAGCCACAGTCAAGGCTCAGTTGGCACAGGAGATAGACATGGGCAGGGATGAGCCCTGGGTGCTTCTGAGGAGGGAAAAACGCTGACCCCAGGAAGGTGGCTTGGTGCAGATTTATGGAGGGAGCTGAAGGGGGAAGAAGCCCTGCTGGCAGCAGGGATGGGGAGAGCGTGGGCAAGGCAGCTCTTAAACACTCCGTACCCAAAAGGGAAGCACTACTTGTGATAAATCCTGTAAATATTCAAAGCACCCCTCTCACTGGCCCTTCTCCAGGCAGCATGAACCTCTCTCAGAGCTGGGATGGTACCCCTCCTCCGTGTGCAACTCTAACTCTAGCAGCACCCAGATCTCTGTAACCCTCACCACAGGGCATCCTGAGGCAAAGAGAATTGGCAGCATCCAATTTTGCAGGCAGGAAAACCAAGACAAGAGGAAGGTCCATTGCTGTGCCCGAGGGGCAGCAGCTTTCTCATTGGAGGGCCCTTGAGCTGTAGGCTACTTTCCTTGCCCTGGGAGTCTGTGGCATTCCCAACTGGCTGGTCCCACCATGCCCAGTGACTAAGGCTTGGCTGCCTTTGCTTTTTCAGCCATTTGAACCTGCTGCCCTGAGGATCTAGTTGCTGCAGATGGGCTTCCCCACACATCTGAGTTCCCTGGGAGCCACCTCAGATCACCAGGACCAAGTGGCTCTCATAGGAGGGGCTTCCTCACGTACACACAGGGTGCACAGGAGGAATGGGGAAGTACTGTTGTCCCACCACACAGTGGGACCTGCTCCCACTGCTGCTGCCAGCCCAGAGCCTGCTGCAGAGTGTGAGAACTCTCCTTGAAATGATCCGATTCCTTCAGCCTGCCAGGCCCAGGGTAGCTGGAAACCAGGGCTCAACCTGCTACACCAGACTTTGCCCTGACGGATAGTGAACCCCAACCTCAGAAATGTCCTGCACCTTTGCAAAGGTGTCCTACTCCCCACCCTGCTCACTGCCTGCCAGCTGGAAGTGCACTCTCACCTGCCTTTTTATCTTTCCTTGTCTTTCCTCAGAGAACATGTTGGCTTTTCTTATTATTTGCGTGTCCCAAGTATTTCCTCCCTTTTGGATGGCTCTGACATGCCTGCCAAAGAGCCAGCCTGGAGCAGCAGGCTGCCAACATCAGCCCATGCTGGGGCCATGCTCCCTGGCAGCTTCCTTCTCTGAAAAGAGCTCATTTCCTCCCAGCCCAGCTACTGGGAGAAGTGTGTCAGCATGACACCCTACAGACACATCCAAAACATTCCTGTCTTCCAAGCATTAGAGGCTGGGGGATGCAGGCAATGAGTTTTATGTTGGAGACAGAGGAGCCAGCAGCCCTGGCTGCACCCCTTTCTAGGCCAGATTTGGTAGAAGATGCCACTATCCTCACTTGTTCAGACTAATCCCAGTTTTTGACACCTTTGCTAACACAAGAGGAAAGACACTGGTTCTCCCACAGGCACAAAGCTGCTTCTTCCTTCATCAGGAACTTGCCTAGCTGACTGCAAGCTATGTTTGCAGAGGAGTTTCCCCAAGGCATTAGTATAATTTATATTTTTAACTTATGGCTAATTTCTGCTTAAATAAGACTGTGACTTCCTACAGCAGTTTCACTGTAACTAATCATAAGTGAACATAACTAAAGTAATAAGTGCTAATGAGGCCCCACAGAACCATGATGGGCTTCGGCAGCTGCAGAACCCCTCCTGTGCTGGGCTCCTGGAGAAGAGGAGGCTGTCAGGAGACTCCACCTTTGGAAGTATGGGCAGGATGAGACATCCTCTATTTCACAGCATCCATGATGGGATTGTGGAGGAGAGGATGAGACATGGACAGACATCTCAGGAGCCCACTGTCAGCAGTCAAACCGGGCAGGAGGGAGGATTAGCAATGCTGGGGAGACATCTGTGGTCTAACCACCTCTATGAGTCTACCACCAATGCTTTCTGTTGATCAGAGGCCAAGGAAGACCACAGAAAAAAGGTAGGGAGAGGACATATGGGTATATGACTCTTCACTCCTGCTTTCCCTTTCTGCTTCCTCAGGGCAGCCGGGCTTGTTGCCACAGGATAAGTGTTGTGACAGTAAACACCTCCAACATGAAAGGCATGAGGATGGAAAGGACAAGGTCAGTCTGTGGGGACAGAGCAGTGCATGTTGTTGCCTAAAGTGACATGACACTGGACAGGTCAGATGGAGAAAGGGGTAACCAAGTCACCAGTAACTTCTCAGAAGTAATGACTTCCTGAATCCATCTTTGTGCTCTCCCACAGGCTCTTCGCTTATCTTT